ACCCATGGACGATCATTCGCATACCTCCCAACATTTTTGAGACACCTATTGTAAAAACCATGCCCACTTAAAGGAGAATTGTACAAAAAAAAATTTAGTTAAACCCACAAATGCATTTTTTTTTTTTTCCCCACTATTCCTTTTTTATACTGGCTTTTGAAACTTACAGATGCAACACTTTTACCAACTAGATGAAATGTTTAGCACTGTTTATCTTTCAAAAAGTGTTTAGTGCATTTTATATAAAACTATGTAGATCAGACCAAAAGGAGGGACAAATGAGGAGTAAATAGGAACTTTGTTCAAAATCAGGGACAGTCCCTTGAAATCAGGGACATTTTGGGAGGTATGCGTTCATCCAATATTTTCATCATGTGTTTTTGAGGCTTTACTTTAGTTCCTCGCATATATTTTGTGGGGAGTGTCATTTTATGAGCCCACAATTCTGATCTTTGGCAACATTTTTACCAAACCAGAAACTCTTAAAATTTCTCATTGAGTGGAAATAATTGGAAGGAACCATTACCATTGCACTCTTGAAGACCCTGTCGCCAACATAAAAAAAAAAATTGGGGCCCCTGTGTACTGCAAGGGTTAAATGCTTGTCTAGGGGTAACACAGGACGTGAATACTTACCCCTGGCTCCAGTCCCATCCAGCTCTGTGACTGGCCCCCCCGCAGCCTGATTTGTAATCTGCAAGCAGCTGTGGTCGCTCTCCTGTCTCATCAATGTACAATATGAAGGTAAGGTCCCTCTACTGTACATGAGGTGCCAGCCAGGAACCATGCAGTGGAGGAAGGCATTGGAGTGAGGGGTATAAAGTAGGTGACCATGCTCTGTGCACCCTAGACATAATGGGCATTTAACCCTTGCAGTGCTGGGGGGGCCTCAATGCAAATTTTGAATTTTTTTTTTTTTTTTTTTTTTTTTTTTTTTTTTTTTTTTTTTTGCATGACCCTGCATTCACTATATCTGGTCTCCCACGGTACACAGAACTTGGAAATGCAATTATTGTAGTAAACATAAACTGTTGTTACCGTTTCTCATCAGCAGTTAGAGCTCTGCTGTCACAAGACTGCTCTGACTACAGCTTGTAGGAGTTTTCATTCTCCCTGATTGTCCTATGAGGATGCAGGACCCCTGAACCTCTGGACATGGCTGATTGGCCCTGTGCTGATCACATGCAGTCTCCCAAGAAGAAAAAAAAACCTGCCTAGCAATACACACCAAGCTAAGCATGTGCAGCTTGCTCCCAGGGCTCTGTTCTATCAGGAGATGGATTGGAGATAGTAGAAGGGGAAGATCCTCTTTATAAAATGTGGAGCATTAACCCTTTTAGGTTTCACAATGCATATAACCAGCATGCTTTATTGTGTGTGTATATACAGACTGATTTTACTGTTGTGGGTTTAGTAACACTTTAATTGTGTGTTTTTGTTTTTTTTTTTGTCTTGTTTTGATTGTTTTTTTTTTTGTATGGGTTTTTCTCTGGTTTAAAGACTTGCCAGGAGATTGCTGTACTTGACTTTTCTGAATTATTATTTCTAATCTCTTTTGACAAGACTGGCTGCTGAATGTACAAAGCATTGAAACTGTGTTTTGCTGCCTTACTTGAAAGTGCAGGACACCTTCCTCCTTTCTTTTTTCTTTTTCTTTCTTTCCTTCTTTCCCTTTTTTTTTTTTTTATTTTTTTTTTTTAAAGAGGGTTTACTGTTGCAATACTAGTTGAGTATGTCTCCCTTCTAATAAATTAAAGAATTTAAAAGTATCTATATATATATATATATATATATATATATATATATATATATATATATATATATATATATATATATATATATATACACAATCCCCCCCGTGATAGAAATGTAACATGCTCTCCTTAGGCGGGTTGGCCTGTGATCCTGCGCTCCTCTTGTTATACAGCCGGCCTGATGTGTTTTGTGAAATCCTGTTGTGCGTGTAATAAGGATGTGGTCCGTGAAGGTCAGGCTGTATTGCCGTTTTGCCATTGCTCTTCAATACTCTCCATCCCTTCCTCCAGAGGACAAGGACTGTGTTACATCTGTTCCAGAGTGCCACGCTTTTCATTTCTAAATGCTCTTTAAAACGTGCCTTCTGCTTGACTAGCTAGTACATGAGTTGTAGCCGGACAAAATCTGTGTTCTGATCTCAGAATCGTCTTTTTATGTTTTGTAATCTCACCTGATAACGCACGCTGCGCCACTTGTTTGTGCTGTTCTGCTATGCTGTATCTGGAAACATCAGCTTTGTTTTCTGAGGGACCAATACCCATTACACATGTATGGTCATAGTAGAAACACACACACGCTAAATACACACACACACTTGTGCTTACAATCATGTAATTTTGGCATTGATGTTTAAATAAAAGACAGTTTTTTGGCATGATCTGTTGTATTTTCAAAGTAGAACTGCACTGCATCTGAACACCACAAACCAAAAATGCTATTTTAATTCAGGTTGAATATTAAAAGCAAACTCTCCCATCCATCCATCCATCCATCCATCCATCCATGTCTCCATGCTTTATTTTGCTGAGAAGTAATTTTGAAAAACACCACCTGGCATTTCTGGCAGTGGCCTTCTTGAGTGAAGGCAGATGATTCATGTAGCATATACTTCCTGGAATCTATCTGCCCTTAGCCCAGCAATAAGCTGAGCTGAGAACCCTTCCCCCACCTCCCTGAAGACGCCTTGGATGTATGACATCATTTTGCCTAGGCATGGAAACCAGGAAGTAACTGAAGAAATGTAAAAGTTTAAAAACACATACAGCGCTCAGCATAAATGAATACGCCACTTTTGAAAAGTAAGATTTTAATATCTCGATGAATACAAAAACGATTTCCAAAATGTTGACACAACTGAGTTTTTATAGAACATTTGTTTAGCTCATTACACGAAAGTAAGGTTAATATAACTTGGATTACAAAGGGGTGTTTTTTACTCAAATTAGCTGATGCAAAAATGAATACACCCCACAACAAAAACTACTCTAGTATTTTGTATGACCTCCATGATTTGTAAGGACAACTAAGTCTTCTAGGCATGGAATGAACAAGTTGGTGACATATTGCAACATCCTTGTTTCCATTCTTTAAAAACGACCTCTTAGAGCCTGGATACTGGATGGAGAGTGATGCTCAACTTGTCTCTTCAGAATTCCCCATAGGTGTTCGAATGGGTTCAGATCAGGAGACACACTTGGCCACTGAACCACTTTCACCCTGTTCTTCAGAAATGCAACAGTGGCCTTAGATGTGTGTTTTGCATCATTGTCATGTTGGAAAAGTGCATGATGACCATGGCAAAAGTGCATGATGATGGTAGCATCTTCTTTTAATTCTAGAGCAGTACATCTGTGAATTCATGATACCATCAATGGAATGCAGCTCCCCGACACCAGCAGCACTTATGCAGCCCCACAGGAGGACACTGCCACCACCATGTTTCACTGTATGCACCATGCATTTTTCTTTGCAGTCCTCACCTTTGCAATGCCGTTTTTTTTTTTTTTTTTTTTTTTTTTAAGCCATTTAATCCAAAACCATTTATCTTGGTCTCATCACTCCAGAGTACAGTCCCAGTTGTCATCTTTTTCAGCATGGGCCCAGGCAAATTCTAGGTGGGCTTTAGGAGAGGCTTCCTTCATGGACAACACCCATGCATGTCATTAGATTTGGTGTCTGCATTAGGGTGTGTGGTTGTGGTGTGTTTTTTGTGTGTTGTGGTTTTTTTTTTTTTTTTTTTTTTTTTTTTTTTGCTCCTAGTTGCTGAAGCTCAAATATGCTAATAGCCTAAAATAATGTACATGGACACCTAGGATAACACACTATTTAGCTCCTAGGAGCAGAACAAATATGCTGATAATGGCTTCTAGGAGCATAAAGTGGTTGTAAAGGCTCAAGGTCTTTTTTACGTCTGTTTTTTATTCTATACATGAAGGTAAAAAAAAACCTATGTGCTGCAGCTCCCCCAGGCCCCCTAATACTCACCTAAGCACCCTCTCGATCCAGCGATGTGCACTGGAGTCTCCGCAATCCCAGGACTCCTGCTGTTGTCAATCACAGCCAGTAAGCCTATGAGAGAAGGGGGCGGGGTCAAGCTGTGTGTGTGTGTGTGTGTGTGTGTGTGTGTGTGTGTGTGTGTGTGTATGGACACACGGAGCAGCGGGTGCCCCAATAGCAAGCTACTGTCACCTGTTGGGAGGGACTGGAGGAGCCAGGAGCTCTGGCAGGGGGGACCCAAGAGGAGGATGATCCTAGGCTGCTCTGTGCAATGCAAAACCACTGCAGAGAGCAGGTAAGTAATGGTGTTTAGGGGTTGGTGTGTTTGTGGTGTGTGTGGGTGTTTTTTTGTGGTTTTTGTTTTTCACAAAATTTAAGCCTTTTTAAGATCACTTAAAAAAAAAAAAAAAAAAAAAAAAAAAAACACTAGTATGCATGGAGCCTCCAGGGACAGAAACCTTAATTCAGAGGGGGGCACAAGTGTTGTACTAGCAGACTTGTATACACTAACAAGTTAAAGCCAAACTGCAGTTAACACTTTAAAATCAGTTAGAGCATTCTTCTCCCCCCCCCCCTTTCAGGGATAAAAGGTTTTGCGTAACTAAAAGCTGTTCATTATAAGCACCGCTACCAGTGTTAAATGGTTTTGTCTCCTCTCTGTAACTGCAAATCTGCCTGAGATCCCAAAAATGCCAGATGTGTACCAGGCCTGAAGGTCAACAAGTGTGCTGTTCATGGACCCAGTCATTAAAGGGAACCGCACACTTGTTGACATTTTATTCTTTTAAAGATCTATTTAAACCACTTCCCGCCCGCCATATAGTAATATGACGGACGCAAGGTGGTTCTCGTTCTGGGAGGACGTCCTATGACGTCCTCCCATTCTCACCGCTCAGGGAGCGCGCAGCGATCGGTGGTGCGCTGTGTCCCTCGGACACAGCAGATCTCAGATTACGGAAAAAGTCGAGATGTCCACTCGGTCATGTGATCAGCTGTGTCCAATCACAGCTGATCACATGTAAACAGGGAAATGCCGTTTATCGGCATTTCTCTCCTTGAGCTGTCACGCTGACAGCTCGAGAGGAGAGCCGGTAATCTGCTTTCCGCTGTGGGGACATGTACACTGATCATCAGGGCACTGATGATCAGTGTAGCCCCAGCAGTGTCACCTATCAGTGCCTTGTATCAGTGCCACATCAATGCCAAATATCAGTGCCCATCTGAGCTGCCTATTAGTGCTATGTATCAGTGCCCATCTGAGCTGCCTATCAGTGCCATGTATCAGTGCTGCCTTTCAGTGCCCATCAGTGATGCCTGTCAATGCCCATCAGTGCCACCTATCAGTGCCCATCACTGCAGCCTCATTAGCGCACATCCATGAAGGACAAAAATCACTTATTTACAAAAATTTTATAACAAAAACTAAAACTTTTTTTTTTTTTTTTTTTTTTTTTTTAAATTGTCAGTGGTTTTTGGTTTGTTTTAGAAAAAATAAAACCCAGAGGTGGTTAAATACCACCAAAATAAAGCTCTATGTCACAAAAAAATGATTAACATTTCATATGGGTACATGGTTGCATGACTGCGCAAATGTCATTCAAAGTTAGACAGCGCTGAAAGCTGAAAATTTGCCTGGGCAGGAAGGGGGTATAAGTGCCCTGTAGGCTAGCGGTTAAAGGTGAGCGGCCATCTTCTTTTGCTTTGGGTGGTGGAATTTTATTTTTTACTAATGCGATGTATTTGGTGAAGTTTCATGTCAAGATTTATAACCATCTTTTCACTGTTTTTGTTGGGACTTTGATGGACTAATATATGTATTACATACTGCATATAGTATTATGAATGTGGTTGATATATTTTTGATTATTTGGTCCCATGTGGGGTGGCGTGGGTAGCAAACAGTCTGGTTACAGCAAAACTTGACACGGAATGTCAAAGTTAAACACCTTGACGGGAGAGCACCGCTAGAGAAATGACTCGGTGTATGAGGATGAAGTGTGGCCTGGCCGGTCTGGTCCCAAATGGGGAAACTCCTTCCAGGATGGTCCCTAATTTTAGTCCATCCCAAATTTATTCCTCTTCATCAGGAACCTTTCCCTACTGCTAGTTACTTTCCCTTACAGGGGGGGGGGGGGCACGCCTCTCCCTACACTAGTCGCACGCCTGAAGCATGCCAAAACCCAGGGGACATAAATAGACCTTGCTGACGTAAGATGTCCACCAAGGGTCACATGGGCGCAGTGCAGGCAACCAGAGAGCTGCTCCATTGACCCAGAAAAACCATAGAGCAGAGAAACCTTCTCTCCTGGACATCCACTCCAGGCTTGGTTGAGTGCCACCTGCAGTGGACAAAACAGTCGTACAAAATGTACAATTTATTTGTAAATGCATAGGTACAGTTTTTGTTTTTTGTTTTTTTAATTGTAATTTACACTTTTTAAAACTGTTTGAGTGCGTCGCTTGTGGTACTCATGATGCAACGTACATTCCCATTCAAAAAGGAGTGAGATGGAGAACATTTTATCACTTCTTATTAATGGACTACCTCAAGTACACATAAAAAGTTGTAGTGAGGCTCTGACTGAGTAATGGTGATTCCAGTGGATTCCTGTTATCTGTGCCTACACATCGTTGGGCATTGTAGAGTACAGTGGGATACAGGACTCTGTAAGGAAATACACGAGCGCAAACCGGCCAGATTGTGGCTGGTGGTAGAAAGGGAATGACAATCCCCTCCTGTTGGTGAGGAGCTGACCCCCTCCTTTGTAGTACGTGGCAAGTGACCTGGGCCTCCATGCCACATAGACCTCAGGTGTCGGAGGACTCTGAGCCCTATTCTCCAACTATGAGGAAGACCATAGGCCTTGCGCAAGGAGTGTCCCTAGTGGTTCACTGAGAGTGGAGACCAGGAGAATGGTGAGTGAGCGGTTTACAATATTTCAGATTTCTTATGCACTTAGAAATAAAATATACAAGAGTAGTGTGAATATAGTAGTATGTGTGGGTGTATGTATGTGTACTGTATGTGTACAGTTAGTTTTATAGGCAGGTGTGAAAAAATGCCAGTTAGGAATGCTTTCAGAAACAGAAGTGTTTAATAGTTTATTTTTAGCAATTAACAAAATGGAAAGTAAATGAACAGAGGAGAAATTTAGATAAAATCAATGTTTTGGTGTGGTCATCCTTTTTGCCTTCAAAACATCAATTCTTCAGTTCTAGGTAGAATAACACGCGGTTTTTGAAAGAACTTGGCAGGTGGGTTGTTCCACAGATCTTCTATGGATGTAGGCTGCCTCAAATCATTCTGTCTCTTAATGTAGTCCCAGGCAGACTCCAATGTTGAGATCATGGCTCTTCGGGGGGGGGGGGGGGGGCCAAACCATCACTCCCGGGTCTCCTTCTTCTTCTTCTTTACACTGAAGATGCTTCTTAATGGCCTTGGCTGTATTTGTGGGGTCATTGTCCTGCTGCAGAATACATTTGGGGCTAATCGGACTCCTCCATGATGGTATGGTATAATGGAAAAGTATCTGCCTGTATTTCTCAGCATTGAGGACACTTGATTGGGCTAGGTTGAGGACAGATGCTTTGGACAAGGAAACAACCCCAAACATACAGCCAATATCATTAAGAACTATCTTTAGCATAAAGGACAAGGAGTCCTGGAAGTGATGGTTTGGCCCCCACAGAGCCCTGATGTCAACATAATTTAGTCTGTCTGGGATTACATTAAGAGACCGAAGGATTTGAGGCAGCCGACATCCACAGAGGATCTGTGATTAGTTCTCCAAGATGTATGGAACAAGCTAACTGTGTGCAAGTGTACCTAGAAGAATTGATGTTTTGAAGGCAAAGGGTGGCCACACCAGATATGGATTTGGACTTCTCTTCTGTTTAATTTCCATTTTGTTAGTTTGATAAAATTAAACTGTTAACACTTCTATTTCTGAAAGCATTTCTAAAGTGATTCTAAAGGTTGTAATAAAAAAAAAAGTGAAAGAGCCATGCTTGCCTGTTCTGTGGAATGGTTTTCAGAGCAGCCCAGACAGCAACCCTTTTGAGCTGCGCTCCTGCGCAAGGACATTGTCTATTCACTCAGTGTGGCTTGGCCCCGCTCCCACTGCTGTGCGAGCCAATGAGGAGAGAGACCGGGAAAACCATGGCTCTCATGCACATCACTGGATCAAGATGGGGCTCGGGTAAGTAAAAGGTGCGGTGGAGACAGGCACCCAAAATGTTTGTTTGTGGGTTGTTTTTTTTTTTTTTTTTTTTTTTTACGTAGAATGCTTTAAGGTATAAAAAAAAAATTTGAACCTTTTTAGAAACCACTTTAATTTAACAGCATTTTTTCCCATCTGCCTAAGATGTGTGTGTGATCTGTCTACCTGTTTTGGCCTTGGTACAGACACACACAAGTTAAAATGGGAATTAAGGTTTATTTCCCACATCTGTGGCTTTTTACATTACAATTAGTGTCTATGTATAAATATTCAATGAATTTGTTAGCTTTCACATGGATGCACTAAGCAAGCTAGATACTGAGCCATGGGGAGTAGAAAACTGTCAAAAGACCTGTGTAACGTAATGGAACTTTAGAAAGATGGGGGGAAAAAAATCTAAAAAGATGTCCAAAGCCTTGAATATGCTAGTCAGTACTGTTCAATTGCTTAAGAAGTGGAAAATTCAGGGATCTCTTGATGCCAAGCCAACAAAAATGAGCTGCATGGTTGAATTGCCAGAAAGAAGCCTTCACTGTGCCAATGCTACAAAAGAACCTGGTTACAACATGCCCAACACCACCTTGACATGCCTCACAGCTTCTGGCACACTGTAATCTGGAGTGATGAAATCAAAATAGAACTTTTATGGGTTGATCAGGTCTAAAGCGACAAGAATACTATCCCTGCTGTGAAGCATGGTGGTGGCTCACTGATGGGTTGTGGGTGTGTGAGCTCTAAAGGCACAGGGGATTTTGTGAAAATTTGATGGCAACGTGAATGCAGCATATTATCAGAAAATATTGGCAAACAATTTGAATTCTTCTGCATGAAAGCTGTGCATGGAATGCTCTTGGACTTTTCAGGATGACAATGACCCTAAGCACAAGGCCAAGTTGACCCTCCACTGGTTACAGCAGAAAAAGGTGAATGTTCTGGAGTGGCCATTAGTCTCTTGACCTTTTAATATCATTGAGCCACTTTGGTGAGATCTCAAATGTGCAGTTTATGCAAGATGACATAAGACTTTGCATGGCCATTTTGCCAAGACGAGTGGGCAGCTATACCACCTGCAAGAATTTGTGGTCTCGTAGATGACTATTACAAAAGACTGCACACTGTCTTAGATGCTAAAGGGGCAATACACCATATTAATTAAACGTATGCAGACGTTGGAACGGGTCATTTTGTTTACTTGCCATGTTTTGTTTAATGATTGTGATCTTCTGTGTTATCCTACAGTTAAATATGAATCCTATAAGAAAAAGAATTGTTTTGGTTGACTGTTTTATTTAAAAATGGTACTGTATATTACCAGGTCTCCATGGGTATGCAAACGTTTGAGCACAATTGTATATCTGTGTGCGTATGTTAGACCCAATTGGTTTATCAACTAATTGTAATGTTTGTGCAGCCTGTGTTTTTAGAAGTGTTGGGGTTCAGAGGCGAGGTTAGGTGTACTTCTAGTTTAGAAATGTTGGTGCAGAGGTGATGTGTACGTTTTTAGAAATGTTGGCTCAGAGGTGAGGTTAAGTGTACTAATTTAGAAACTTTTTTGGAAACTTTTGTTATCAGGTAAACTGTACTTGAGAAATGTTGGGGGTACCTAAGGAAACTGCTTTTTTTTTTTTTTTTTTTTTTTTTTTTTTTTTTTTTTTTTTAAATTTCATCATAATATTTCAGCATAGCCTCATCACTTTGCTGTTCTTTGCCAAATAGAAAGGTGGAGAAGAGGCGCTGGAACCCTGAAGATTTTTTTCAGAATAATGCCATCATCCCATGGTAAAGTGAGGATATAATATAGAAAATCTTAACATTTTGAGTTGGTGAGCCACCTGATGATGTGCGCGGCGTGTAAGGAGGAGCCTGCTCGCGTTGTTGAAGTCACACTTCCATTTCCCTTCAGGGACGATGCCCCAGTACCCAGCTCATCCAGAGAGGGAGCCTCCTGTCATCTGAGGGCAGCACCCATCTATCCCTAAAGGGGAACTCTGGAGCATTAATACCTTCATCCCTGGACCATAACCAATGTTGCGTATAAACTGCACAACTCAGTTGAACAACAAACTGAAATCTTATAGGTGGAGGGAAGTAAAAAAAAAAAAAACTAAAATATGGTTGCGTAAGTGTGCACACCCTTAAACTAATA